ATGGGGATTGCATTGAATCTATAGATTGCTTTGGGTAGTATGGACATTTTAATTATGTTAATTCTTCCAATCCATGAACAGGGTATGTGCTTCCACTTTTTTATATCTTCCTCTATTTCTTTTTTCAATGACCTGTAGTTTTCTGCAAATAGGTCCTTTACTTCTTTGGTTAAGTTTATTCCTAGGTATCGTAATTTTTTTGGAGCGATGGTAAATGGGATTGTTTTTTCCGTTTCTCTTTCTGTGAGCTCATCATTGATGTACAAGAATGCCGTCGATTTCTTGACGTTAATTTTGTATCCTGCTACTTTGCCAAATTCATTTATTAAGTCTAATAGATTTTTGATGGATTCTTTAGGGTTTTCTATGTATAATATCATGTCATCTGCAAATAATGACAGTTTCACTTCCTCCTTTCCAATTTGGATCCCTTTTATTTTTTCTTCACGTCTGATTGCTGTGGCTAAGACTTCCAGTACAATGTTAAATAAGAGTGGCGAAAGTGGACATCCCTGTCTTGTTCCTGTTCTTAATGGAAATGTTTTTAGTTTCTGTCCATTGAGTATGATGTTGGCTGTAGGTCTTTCATATATGGCCTTTATTATGTTGAGATATGATCCCTCTATTCCTACATTGCTGAGTGTTTTTATCAGAAATGGATGCTGGATTTTGTCGAATGCTTTTTCAGCATCTATTGATATGATCATGTGGTTTTTATTCTTCATTTTGTTTATGTGGTGTATCACGTTTATTGATTTGCGAATATTGTACCAGCCTTGCATCCCTGGAATGAATCCCACTTGGTCGTGGTGAATAATTTTTTTGATGTATTTCTGGATCCGATTTGCTAGTATTTTGTTCAGGATTTTGGCGTCTATGTTCATCAGGGATATTGGCCTGTAGTTTTCTTTCTTCGTAGTGTCTTTTTCTGGTTTTAGAATTAGAATTATGCTGGCCTCATAGAATGTGGTTGGAAGTCTTCCTTCTTCTTGAATTTTTTGAAATAGTTTGAGGAGAATGGGTGTTAGTTCTTTTTTGAATGTTCGGTAAAACTCCCCTGTGAAACCATCTGGGCCTGGGCTTTTGTTTGCTGGGAGAGTCTTGATTACCTCTTCAATTTCCTTAGTTGTTATTGGTCTGTTCAAGTTTTCTATCTCTTCCGGGAATAGTTTTGGGAGACTGTGTGTTTCTAGAAATTTGTCCATTTCGCTGAGATTGTTGAATTTGTTGCCATATAGTTGTTCATAGTAGTTGTTAACGATCTTTTGTATTTCCGTGGTGTTGGTTGTTACTTCTCCTCTTTCATTTCTGATTTTGTGTATTTGGGTTCTCTCTCTTTGTTTCTTGGTGAGTCTAGCTAAGGGTCCATCTATCTTGTTTATCTTTTCGAAAAACCAGCTCTTTGTTTCATTGATCCTTTGAATTGTTTTTTTGGTCTCTATGTCATTTATTTCTGCTCTGATCTTTACTATTTCCTTCCTTCTACTTGCTCTGGGGTTTTCTTTTTGTTTGCTTTCTAATTCTTTAAGCTGTGAGGTTAGACAGTCAATTAGAAATTTTTCTTGTTTTTTGAGGTAGGCCTGTAGTGCTATGAACTTCCCTCTCAGAACTGCTTTCGCTGCATCCCATAGATTTTGTGTTGTTGTGTGTTCATTTTCATTGGTTTCCAGGAAGTTTTTAATTTCTTCCTTGATCTCCTCGGTGACCCATTCATTGTTTAATAACATGCTATTTAGCCTCCATGTGTTGAAATGTCTTTGCATGTTCTTGTTGCAATTGATTTCTAGTTTCATGCCATTGTGATCTGAGAAGATGCTTGATATGATTTCAATCTTCTTGAACTTGTAGAGATTTAGTTTGTGTCCTATCATGTGGTCTATCTTTGAGAATGTCCCATGTGCACTTGAGAAGAATGTGTATTCTGTAGTTTTGGGGTGTAATTCTCTGTAGATATCTATTAAATCCATTTGGTCTAGTGCTTCATTTAGAGTCTCTGTTTCCTTGCTAATTTTTTGCCTAGAGGATCTATCCAGTGCTGTCAACGGGGTGTTGAAGTCCCCTGCTATGATTGTATTGTTGTCGATTTCTCCTTGGAAGTCCTCCAGAAGATTTTTAATATATTTTGGTGCTCCTATATTGGGTGCATATATGTTTATCAAGGTTATATCTTCCTGTTGGATAGATCCTTTCAATATTATGTAGTGGCCGTCTTTGTCTCTAGTTATGGTCTTCATTTTGAAATTTATTTTATCAGATATGAGAATTGCTACCCCAGCTTTTTTTTGCTTTCCATTTGCTTGGAAAATTTTTTTCCATCCCTTCACTTTCAACCTATGTGAGTCTTTTGTTGAGAGGTGGGTCTCTTGTAAACAACATATAGATGAGTCATGCTTTCTTATCCAATCAGCTACTCTGTGTCTCTTTATGGGAGCATTCAATCCATTTACATTTAAGGTGATTATTGATATGTACTTATTTATTGCCATTTTTGTTTAGTGTGGTTCTATTTTTCTTCCCATTTCTACTGCTAATTACAGCAGTCCTTTTAACATTTCTTGCAGTGCTGGTTTGGTGCTAATGTATTCCCTTAGCTTTTTTTTGTCTGGGAAGCTCTTTATTTGATCTTCTATTTTGAATGATAGCCTTGCTGGGTAGAGTAGTCTTGGATTCAGATTCTTGGTTTTCATGACTTTGATTACTTCATGCCATTCTCTTCTGGCCTGTAGTGTTTCTTGTGAGAAGTCAGCTGAGAGCCTTATGGGGTTCCCTTTGTAGGTAACCTGTTGCTTATCTCTTGCTGCTTTTAGGATTCTCTCTTTGTCTTTAATTTGTGGCATTTTAATTACTATGTGTCTTGGTGTGGGCCTGTTTGGGTTCTTCTTACTTGGGACTCTCTGTGCTTCTTGAACTTGAATGCCTTCTTCCTTCACCAAATTAGGGAAGTTTTCTCTCACTATTTTTTTGAATATATTCTCTATCCCTTGCTCCTTTTCTTCTTCTTCGGGGACTCCTATGATGCGAATATTATTACGTTTCCAGGTGTCCCATAGTTCTCTTAAGCTGTCTTCCTGTTTTTTAATAGTTTTTTCCTTTTGTTTTTCTGATTGGTTGATTTTTTCTACCCTGTCTTCTAATTCACTGATCCGGTCCTCAGCTTCCCCTACTCTGCTTTTTAAACCTTCCAATGTGTTTTTCATTTCGGATATGTCATTTTTTATCTCTTCTTGTTGGTTTTTAATTTCCATTTGGCTTATTTTCAGTGTCTCTATGTCCTTACTCATGCTGTTCAGCTTCCTCAAGATCATGGCTCTGAATTCTAGCTCTGTTAACATGCCTAATTGCTCCACATTGATCTCATCTTCGGTGGAGGTGTCTTGCTCTTTCATTTGGCTTCTGTTTCTGTGTTTCACCATTTTAGCTATCACTGTGGGCTTTGGAGCCTGTCAAGTTCTCCCTGTGGGTGTTGGTGTTCTGCTGTTTGTGGCTCCCTCTCCTGTGTTTAGATGAGCGAGGGAGGACCCGCGTTGAACACCACTGTCAAGTCTTACTTTCCTGGTTAAAGTTGCCAGCCCAGGAAGCGTACTGTTATCCTCTAGCTTTTTGCCTGGAGGCTAGCAGTCTAGGTTAATTGATCAGTTTTGGGTTGTCAGTTGATTGAAAAACTCCCTCTGGTGCTCAGCCAAGGGGCTTTCAGGAGGGTGGGGCAGATGCTGGTTGTTAGTGAGCCTCAATTAGCACTTCAATGGCCCACAGGGTGGGGTTGGATCTCCGAGGGAGGGGCTGCTGCCTCTCCTCAGAGCCCTAGGAAGGAGCAATGTGGAGAGGTCCCGAGTGGCTGCACTCAGCCAAAGCTCCGAGCGCCCTCCAAACCCCGAGTGTCCCGACACAGTTCCAGTCCAGTCCGCCCTCCCTCCGCCGGAGCCCAAGGTGAGTGGCTGTGGCTGTTTCAGCCTCTGTCCCGGCTGCGCTGCGGGGGCCGCCTGGGAGTGTAACCCACGGGCGCCGCTTACAGCTGAGGCCGCTGCCGAGCTGCCGACCGTGCGCTCCCAGCCCCGTCTCGCGCCTTCGCAAGCCTACCGGGATGGAGTCAGTCAGTGTCCCTCGTTGTATGGTCCTCGCAAGCTGCTTTTCTGTTGCTTTTTCCTGTCGATTTGTCTGTGTTATAGTTGTAATTCCAGTTTGGTTCTGGGAGACGGTCTGTGTAGCTCCGTTCACTCCGCCGCCATTTTCGCCGATCCCAAGAGATCTTTTTAAAGAAAGAAAACTTTCTGGCAAGTTTTCCTGGACTGGTTATTGGGGTTTGGGGGTCTCTATTATATGGAGGCCCAGCCCTTACAAATTCCTGACTGTGAGTAGGATTTTAGTGCTTTACCTTCTGTGAACCCACCCAAGACTAGTCTTCTGCCCTTTGATATTCAGTTCAAACTTCAGCCCCTATCCCTGGGACATCAGCTTATGGCTTCCCATTCTAATGAGTATACCCTTCATTTCCAGCACTTCAAGATTTCCCTTTTGAGCTTGGCTGTGCTTGTACACTGTGGGAGGGAGGATGTACTTCATCTGCATTTCTGTGTTTCCTGGTGGGGGGAGGTTGGAGAAGCTCTTATCTCAGTCCTCTTGGTTGTCTTCTGTTATCCTGCAGTTGTCATGTAGCAGAGCACATGGGGCATAGGATCAAAACAGCTTGAGGGGCAGAAATGGGTGGTAAAGAGACTCCCAGAAGTCTGAAATGCACCTGAGCTCAGGGCCTTGGGATTGGTTGCATATCAACAGCACAGGAGAGTGGTAGATGGTGCCGAATGGGAGGTGATGAAGGAAGGGCACCCTGCTGGTGGCAGGCAACACTATAAACAAGACTGAAGCACTTGTGGTTTTAAAATTTTTATTAGGGCCAAACCTTTTTGAAATGTTTTTATTTAATGTAAAATATATACCACTACAATGTTTAAATATGTTTGTTTTGAAGTCATTCTTTTCTCAAACATTGACTTACCCCTCAGGTGTGCATTGACGACATATGCTGAAAACTACACTCTACCATATGATTATCAGCCACTTGTGAGTATAAGAGGGTGGAAAAGCCTTGTTAATGTACATCAACTGCTTCTCTACATCTTGTGAAGAAAGGAAAAATTGCTGAGATTATGATGTTTTATATTTATTTAGAGGTATTTTCTATTTGTGGGAGTTAATAGAATGTTTTATAGTTATAATTTATTTTTAGATGATTATAGATTTCAGGGAGATAATATTGCAGTGTCCAAAGCATATTAGTTGCTTTCTTCCTTATCTTGTTTTATTGTCCCTATCCTTGAATTTAATTTATCTGGAATAAGAACATACCTTCCTATTCATTTGCATTGCATCGACACATAAAAGTAACTGGCTTAATTTAGCTCCGGAAAATGTGTATGTTGATAAACTATGTCCAGTTTATAACTTTTATATACTTGTACTTAAGAAGTTATATAACATCCTGGCCTGTATGGTTCAGTGGACTGAGCATTGTCCCTTGGACTGAGAGGTCCTGGTTTGATTTCTGGTCAGGGCACATGCCCAGGTTACGGGCTCCACCCCCAGTCTGCAGGAGGCAGCAGATCGATGCTTCTCTCTCACATCAGTGTTTGTATTTTTCTCTAAAAAAAAATCAATAAAAAAAATTATACAACAGAAAGAGAACAAGGCTGCATATTATTCTGAACGACTTAACCAGTGCAATAGATAAGAGATTTGACAATTGAAAAAGAGAAGAAAAAAAAATTATCTCTATTTTAAGATAGTATGATTATCTTCATAAGAGGACCAAGACATTAAACTGAGAATTAAAATAAATAAGACCATTTAGTAAGGTGAGTAAATACATAATAAGCATATGAAAAAAAAAGTATCTTTCCTTCTTATCAGCACTAACTGGTTAGTAAACTATAAAAGAAAAAGCATACAAATTACTATAGCAACACAAATTTAAAATGCTTTCACGAGGAAAACTTTAGATTAGTAAGGATCATAGAGAAGATGTGGGAGATTGTCTCCGAAGACTCTCCTGTTTGCGGAGGCCGCTCTCCCAGCAAGACGGGACTCTCTCTGCCTTTTGAATCTGGACTGTCAGCTCCTTGGTCTGCTCAATAGAACATGGCAAGAGGGACTCTGTACCAGATCTAGACTTAGCTTATACAAAGACGGCTTCCACCTCGGAGCCCTGAGCCACCCGGCTGGAAATCCAGGCTGTTGTGCTACAGAGAGAGGCCATGAGGAGAAACGCCGCTGGGCCTGACTCACCGGGGGAGAAGCCATGGAGGGCACGCAGCCTAGCTGAGCCTGGACTCCAGCTCCAGCTGCCTCCTGACTGCAGCCCAGGAGAGGCTCCAGCCATTAATGTTAAAAAATATACACTCAGAAATAAACAGAAATCTCAAATAAAAGGGGGTAACTACCATTTTAGAGGACTGGAAAACTAAATTCATTATAAATTTAATTTATAAATTTAATACTCAGTGGGGTGGAAATGGGGTGAAATTGTTTTAAATTCTTACTTGAGGATATGATTTTTATTGATTTTAGAGAGAAAGAAAGAGACAGAGAGAAAGGGAGAGAAACCAATGGGCTGCCTCCCTTAGGAGCCCTGACAGGGATCGAACCTGCTACCCAGGCATGTGCCCTGACTGGGAATCGAACCCACAACCTTTTTGGTGTACGTGACAATGTTCCAACCAACTGAACCACCCGGCCAGAGCAAGATGTTGTTTTTTTTTATCTGTTGTCAGGCATATTGTAAATTGTTTAAATCTTTCTGGAAAGGAATTTGGCAGTATTTACAAGACACTACTTGATCTAATAATTGTCCTTCTAAGAAATTTCCCCGAAGAAAAATAATTTAAAATCCAAAAATACTCATCACTGAATTATTAATAATGGCAAAACTTGGAAAGTGCTGAATGTTTTAATGTTAGAAATAGTACTGATTGAATATGCTGTAATCATATGGGGAGATTATTGCAGCCTTTACAATATCCATAGATAGCTCTTAGTGCCTTGATAAACATGTAAGGTTAACAAAAATATTAAGATACAAAATTGAACATATATTTTATCTAAACTATGTAAAAATATAAGAAAAAAAACTGAAGAAACTGTCAAAATGCTACTAAAGTTGGCCATTGAGTGGTGAGGTTGTAGGTGACTTTTTTCCCCCTTTACACATTTTAGCCTGATTGTTTATAATCAGGAAAAAACCACAGGGAAACAAATAAGTTATTGAAGAATGCAATTCAGGCCTGATTTCTTATATACATGGAATTTTGTTTCATCTCTAAACAAAAGGAAGTTGAAGACATAATTGAAAACTCCCAAAACTCGAAGGACTAATTTCCCCATAGGCAGAAATACAAAGAATGGGGGATGTATTCTCAGACCACACAGTCTTTAGTCATCAAGGTATATATTTATGGTTTTAATTTTTCAGCATTATTTCTGATGTGTCTCCATGGCTCACTTCCACATTAGCAGCACAGCATGTTTGGCTTTATTTCGAATTTTGTTTATTCACTTCCAACTTCCATGCTGAAGCAATGGATTTTGAGACGTGTTTAAGCTCTGCTCTCTAGCACCCCCATTTAATGAATGCTTGCATTACATTCTTATTGGATACAAAATATTTTAAATTATAATAGTGGATGGTTAAATAACAGCAGAATAGTGGCTGGAGTTATCTTGCATATAAACAAGTACAGACTTCACAAAAGACTAATACATGGAGGAGAATACTTTTTTATTTACTAGGTGCTTTACCATATGGACTTAGAATAAATAGTTCACCACTCACTCAGGTTACCACCTTTGCAATTATGCAGTTCTTAAAATCTTAAAATGTTTAGATTCATACTATTTCGAATTTGTGCATTGATTGAGACTTTATTAACTTTTATATTATGGGCTCTCATGTTTACTTAAATGTATATTTGCATAAAGTGGGACAGCTTTATGGAAAGCGTAAAGAAAATACAAGTTATCACACCAAAGCCTAGACATACGTAAGGAAATACAGAGTATTAGAAAGCTATGAAATCATTTCCAAGGAGAGAAAGGAAAGAGAATTCCAAGCTACTTTTTCAGAACTCCACTTTTTTTTTTTTTTGGTACATGCCCCTAGTGGGAACCGAACCCGGGACTCTCTGGTCCGCAGGTCGACACTCCCACCACTGAGCCAAACCGGCCAGGGCTAGAAATCCACTTCTTACACTGGGTGTTTGTTATGGCTTACCTAATTTCAGTGAAAGATATCTCTTTTAAAAGCTTCCCCATTTTTCCCCCAAAGAACCAAAATAGAGAAAAAGTTTCAGAGAAAGTAGATTAAAGGACTGGTCCGTGGCTGGCTCTTTGTAGGGTACATGGGCCTTTAGGACAGGGGACAAGTGAGCTGTGGATGTATGTGTCTACTGGATATACTCAGGGTGAGTACAAAAAATAATTCGTTCAGGCAGGGACTAGCAAATCAGGAAGATGAAGGGCCCGGAATGAAAACGCTGCACGGCAGTAGAGGGGAGTGAGAGAGCTAGAAGAATCGGAGGCGATGAGCAAAGGGAAGGTACTGGACGTATTGGTATTTCAGAGCTAGAATGGTTCTAGGGGATGACAGAATCCAGGACGTGGTCATGGGAGTGAGTTTCTACAGTAGAATCAAAGCCACTGACTTGAAAAGGTGAGAAAATGATAAGACAGTGGGTTGGCTTGCTTCTAAATATGAGTGTTGGAAATCAAACTACCAGACAACAGGAAAGAAGGGACCAAAGACGGAGTCAGATGATCCTACTGAACTTCGGAAGCTCTTTGGAGGTTCATGGCTCCTCCCAGCCCTGCAGCTGCCTGTTGGGTACATTTGGTTGGTCAGTATCATGTGTGAAGTACCATTTTGTTTTCCCAAATAGAGCTGCCTATTGAATTATCGTTGCAGGCATATGAGTACCTTTAAATCAAAAAGGGTTGTGCATCATAGTTCATTCAGGGAGAGAAAGCTGAGGAAGCGTTTAATAGAGACTTAGGTTTTAAAGTTGGCATGTATTACAAATTGACCACACAGGGCCCATGCAGTGTTTCATGGTAGGTCAGAGAAGAGGCTACATCTGTTTAAAAATTATTCCCAGTAGCAGCAGAATTGGCCTGTCCTACCACTGGGTCTCTAGGCACTGGTATGAATATAGCATTGTTAAAATATTGATATTTTTGTGCTGATTGAAAATTAGCTGTGGCCTTGAATTGCCCAGAGCCCTGCCACCTCAGCGGCCCAGCCCCTTCCCTGGACTCCCTGGACCCAGGACAGCACGATGACTTTCCTGGGCCATAAGCACTTTTGCCTTCATGGGCTCCTTTTTTCATTAAAAAAAAAAAAAAATTGAACAACATGTTTCACACTGTGTTGGTATAAAGACAGATATAATCCAAGTTGGATTGTATTCACCTTTTGGATTTAAAAGCTTATGAAAGAGATAAATTTTAGTCTATATATATATATATATATATTTTTTTTTTGGCATTTGTAAAGTTTACCCATCTTTTCTCCCTTCTTGCCTATTTTTATCTCCTTGCCTATTTTTGACTCTGTTATTGTATTTTATGGCCATGTTATGTGACCCTGTTATTGTTAACATTCTTGAAATTACTCTCAATAAATTAATGAGCATTATTACATAAAACTAAAGCATGTAATACTTTTTTTTTTCCTTCTGGGAAGTACTTTTTGACGTCTATATCCTATTTTAAGCAAAATTTTCTGTTTAATAGGTGCCCAAGTTTTCTGCCACGAGATGGTTTTTGATGTTATATTATAGTCATTATTTCAAGGTTTAACTAGGAGTTTTTACCCTTTATAGTTGGCATCTGCTTTTTTTTTTTCATTCTGGTAAAATATACATAAAATAAAATTTACTACTTTAACCCCTTTTTTTTCCTTTGTTGATTTTTAGAGAGAGAGAAAGGGAGGGGGAGAGAAAGATAGAAACATCAATGGGCGAGAACATTGATTGGCCGCCTTCTACATGCCCCTCACGGGGATCAGGCCCACA